TTTGCCAAATAAAAAAAAAAGTTAGGGTGGCAAAAACAAGTACTTAAATGGACACTAAGTGTTCCCGTCAAGTAACATTTTTTCTCTTTCTCACTCTGGTTGAAAGTAGAAGTAACAATGTGCATGCGCCCTGCTAAAAACAAAAAAGAACTGAATTTTAATTGTCAGTCGATGTTTAGAATTTCATGTAGCTGTTGAGCTTTAAATAGAAATGTAAGCTCTTTCTTTTCCTTTACTAAATACTTTAAATATACTAGATTAGAGTGTTGATTTAGAATTGTTTGATGACTTTTGATAGAATTTCTGATAGTTTTCGCTTTCTGAGGAAAATTATGGAGAAGCTGTTAAACTATTAAAAGAAAGATTCGGTAGAGATGAATTAGTTATAAATGCTCATATGAACAAATTGCTAAATCTCTATCCTGTTAAAGATGCTAATAATGTTTTAGGATTAAGAAAATTATATGACACTTGTGAAGTACAAATTCGAAGTTTAGACTCAGTAACTTCCAGAATGTATGGACATTTATTGTACCCCATTTTGATTAAATTAAATCCAGAAGAATTAGCTTTCAGATTTAACCGTAGAAAATTAGATAATACAAATCAAAGTGATTTCGATGTAATGGAACTGATAAATTTTCTAAAAATGGAAATAGAATGTAGGGAATCTGTTTCATTCCAAAACTCAAGGGTGGATAGAAAGAAAAACTTTATAAGGCTGTGTAGCCAAATCTTTGAATCAAAAATAAGCACTTTTTAAAAACTTTTCAAGCACTTTACAAAAATTTTCAAGCACTCAAAAAATTCATATTCAATCAATGATATTATTGAAAACAAAAACTTTTTATAAACAGTTTTAGCGTTAAAAAAAATCGAAACAATCAGTACTTTCCCACATCACCGAGTGAATTCAACTTGACACTGAACTCAGAACAAAAGTACTCTTACCCCCTACGTCAAAAAAGTGTTAGAAGTAAAATAAAATAAACAAGAATAAAATTAAAATAAATTAAAAAGAAAAAGATTTCATAAGGATCTGACATTCTTTATCCGAATTGGAGCACTCGGGTTTCGGTTTCAAATATGCGCGCATGCACAAGTCATAACGTGGAAGCAAACTCCCCATTTTTCGTGAAATGCATGCGATCCACCAGATATCACTGAAGCGAAAAAAATATTATTCGGAAAAAAGCACTTTTTAAAAACGCCAGCTGAAAAAAGCACCTTTAAAAGCTTTTAAAAATGAAATCCCCAAAAAAGCGCCTCTAAGTACTTTTTACAAACGGTACGCACCCTGTTTATTAATCATAATACTGTAGCAAAACAGCAATTTGGCAATTCACGTGAGTCACCTCGAAATCAAAATCGCCCTTTCAATTCAAATGTAAACAAAACAGTAGAATATTTAGCTCCTGTCACAGTAAGTAATTGTATCTTTTGTAAAGAAACTCATAGTTCGGAACACTGCAACAATGTAAATATTGATGAGAAAAAGGATTTGTTAAGAAAACAAGATCGTTGCTTTTTGTGCCTTCAAAAAAATCATAGAATTAGAGACTGTAAGAAGAGGACATTTTGCGATATATGTAATCATAAACATAACAGAACAATTTGCTATCAATTTGGCAAAGCTGAAGATAAAAACAAAAGCTGTTGCTGCAGCATGTAGCAGTTGAGCTATAAACTGAAATGTAAACTCTTTCTTTTCTTTTATAAAATACATTAAATACACTAGATTAGAGTGTTGATTTAGAATTGTTTGATGACTTTTGATAGAATTTTTAGAATTACTTTGATCACTTCTTGATAAAATTTCTAGAATTAGATATTATAGATGAACCACCGTTAGCTCTAAGTGCTATCCCACAAAGCATGTAATCTTACGGCAACCTTGTCTCGGAATTTTCTTTTTATTGTCACGAAAATGTTTATACTAAAAACCTTTTTTCAATAAAGTAAAAATACTAAATTCTCAAACCTTTCATCCTAAAAGGATTAAAAATTTTTTTTCAAAGCTCTTTTAAAAAGTATTATCACTTAGGTCCATAATGACGTTTTATCTGATGTCACACCAGCCATATGATCAAATTGCATTGTCCATTAAAATTTCAAGACAAGGTGGATTTTAGCTGAGCATACAAGACTTTGCGAAAAGAAACCTCATAATTAACTAGATTTAAGATTATTTTCACCTTGAGATTAGCTTTATTAAAGGATATTTTCACGTTTGAAAATCCTAAGTCAATCTTGATTCAAGGTTTTTATATAGAATGTTGTTTTACAAGTTTTTGGATTAGGGTAATGCGCATAGAATAGAGCAAATTGTCATAGATCTCGTCTTAAGGTTAGAATTTTTACACGTAAATCGCATAACAAACCTTTTCAGGTTCACAAAAGGTTTTTGCTGAATTAAAATAAACCTTATTTTGTTATCTGGGATGTAACTTTAAATTGTATTATTGCCAAGAGTGAGGAAAGTGACTGCTTATTAGTGTTAAATTTATTAATTTCTAAGTGAATAAGAACAAGATTTGAGTACCTAAGCAACTTTGATATGTAAATCCAATAGATAGCTGATACGTTTTTCCTATTATTTCTCATAGTGTTGCATATAAATGTGGATATCATAGCTGCCAACCTTAGGAACCAAAAATTAGGAACACTATATGCAACAAAATTATGCACCAATTACGATAGTAAGACAAAAATTTAACTATTAAATATTAACATTAATTGACAAATATTTAAATACCTTAAGTAAATTAGTACAACAAAACTATAAACACTATCCTTTGAGGGAAATTTATAATATTAATATTTTATAATTAGGATTACCGGTATAATAGTTTAAAAACAGCCATTACCTTTTAATATATAATTATTCTTCTCCAAATTATAAAAGACAGGTAAATAATAATCTACATCATAAGCAAATATTTCTGATGCAAGTGTTTAAATACTGCAATGCATTTTTTAAAAAATAATAATAGTTGTTTAAGATTCAATTTCGTGAAATGATCAGCAACAGCTATGAAATAGTATTTTCCAATAAAAAGCTACTAAAAATTACTTCTGCACAATAATCACAAGAAGCTTGTGGCGATCAGAACTAGGGTTTAATTTCAAAGCAAAAATACTGCAATTTTAGGAAAATTCGGATTTTTTTATAAAAATATCAGATTTTCAGATTTGATTTAAAAATTAGTAACAAATCCGAAAAATTCTGAACAGTTGGCAGCTATGGGATATCATTGGAGGGATATAAATGAAGATTTTTTTAACCTTAGTTTTATTTTTTTGTTTTGTTGTGCAGTGTTAACCCAAGATCCATAGGAAAATTGGGGTTACTTTACCCACCTCTTACAAATTTTAGCAAATGTCATAACAACTGGTACAGTGAGACAGACTTTTAATACTAGGTTGTATTTTTTAAAATGTTGTTTATTTACATTGCATATTCGGCAAACCTGTTCTAGCAATGTCAAACTAACCTATTTTTATTCATTATACTTTATTCGTAAATCATCTGCAATTTTGTTTAAAGAAAAAAATTATTGGCAAAATATCAGATCAGATAGCAATCAGTTGTAACCACACCTGTATTGTAAATATAAATATTCCAATGACTCAGACTGCTTTTATTCTTATGACTGATGTTATTTTACTAATATTTTCATCATTGCTCAAGTTCTGTTTACATTATTGTCAGTATCTATGTTATGATTTGATTTTATTGATTAACAATCTATGTCTGATTATCTAACTTCTGTGTAATTCCTTTTTGTGTTTACCAGATTATGTATAATGATGTTTTATGTGTCTGAAATAATAAAATGAGCAAGACTCTCTCTAATCCTATTTTTACCTTATTTCTTGTATGTTACAATTCTCTAATTCAGAGAATGGTGAATCTTTAATAACAAAGTATGTCCCAAACGAAGTAACACTATTGGCAACCTTTTCACATTTATATGAGAGAAAATTAATATTCCCCAATAAAACTGCCAGTTCAGAATTAAAGTTTTCAAAATTAACTTCAATACTAGCTGATATACTTCATATGAAAACTAAGTTACTCTATTCAAGAATGATTTTCGCCAAGTGGTAGAGAAATGCAAATTGAAAAAGCAGTTGTAGGCAATAATATTTCAATATTTTGCCAGAATTTAAACACATTATCGTATGTTTATTAGGCATAATTTATAAATTCATATATATTGATGGATAAAATTATTCTGAATTAAATTCATAAATCCAAAAATGAAATATAGTTTTGCTATCACAGCATTAAATGTAAAAATAAAATCTTCTAGAAAATATTGTAGAATTTAAATTTAGACATAAATAGAATATATGGAAAATAAGAGAGAATATATGGAAAAATAGAAGAAAAAAAAGTTCCACAGCTGCAAATTCAAAAAAATAGTTCAGTGAATTTAATAAAATGATATATAATTTATGTAAAACATTCCTAACATGAGGATTTTTTATAACCAATAGAAGGAAATAAAAATATATATATATATACATCCGATAAAATGATTAGTACAAACTTAAACTGACTGATATATTCTCTATTATAGTCTTCGAGATTTAAAACTAAAAAACTTTATTTTTATGTTAATTATTTTCTCAAATTCCCAAATTTCAATAAATATAATTTTGAATAACTCAAATAGTTGTAATATGATCATAAAAATGCATATTAAATTTAATGATAACAAAAACTAAATATTTTGAACCAAGTTTAAAAGAAAGTTTTCAATAAAAAAAATTAAAATTTTAGAGTTACATTTTTTAAAAAAGTTACTTTATATTTCACTCTTACTTCGTTATTTAGTAATATTACAAACATAAATTCTCAAGTGGAATTCTTAAATTTCTCAATGTTACAGAATTTTTTAAAATCGACATAAAATCCAGTAAAACAGACAAAATCCAGTAGAATTGGTAGCACTGATTTAAGAAAACTATGAAGCACAAAAATTAATTTTTACCTGCTACAACCCCCAAAATCTTCAGGTGGATCACTCAAAGAGGCAACCTACAAAACAAAAACAATGTTACATTAAAATCAATAAAGAAAAAAATTAATGAAAAAATTTATTTCAGTTATTTAATACAGGGTAATAAATATACAGGGTTCTTCTGTGATGTTCATATTTAAAGACTTATATTTTACAGTTAATTTTCTTCAATTTATACTTTTAGAGATCTTGTATGGAACTTAAGTATAAAAAAATATTCATATGAGGGTTTACAAATATTTAAGTAATAGAAAAAAAGTTGTTTAAATCTGTCAAATCATATTTCAGGTAAATTATATCAAAGGAGATGAAAGTGAAAAAGAAGTTATTTTATATGAATTCGGAAATAAACAGTGTTACTTCAAGAAAGTATTTACGTCTAATCCTTAAACTGCTTATTCACAAAAAAAACTAAGGAGAATGATTACAGAACACACTTAACATTAAAAATCAGAACCAGCTTAATTTCATAACTAATATAACTAAAGTTATAATCCTGTTGTACTGTACATTTAATTTAGGTGATCAACAAGAAACTTTGATACAAGATATTAGTGACCACATTGAATAATTATTATAACACAACTCAATCTATAAGAAAAATTACTTTTTTGAATATTAAGTAGACAACAAAAAGAGACAGAACACATAAATGCTTTTTTGTCCGATATGTATGTTTTTCCTCATTTTTAAAAACCATTGTCCTCTCCCAAAATAAGTATAAATATACAATGTTACGAGTGAATGATATGATGCAAGTTCATTAACAAACAAGTGCTCAGAGTGATGCTAAGTTTGGTAAATTGCAAAGCAGTAAGTTAATGTACAATTATTAAATAATCTGAATCATCCAAAGAAGTCACAAAGTGGCAAATAAGATGTGGAGAGTCTATATACAAGTTTATCTCCACCTTGTAGTAGTAGTAGTAACAGGTTACTTGCAATAGTAACAGATAACTGTGTCACTAGAGTAGCATGAAACTGAGCATGTATTTAATCCATTCGGACTGCCCTTCAAATACGTAATGTCATTTAATTTTCATCCACTGTATTAGGATGAGAAACTGCACACGGTGTGTCTTAACCAAAGTTAAATGAAATACAGTGGTACCTCGAGATACGAGTGCCCTGACATACGAGTTATTTGAGATACGAGCTATCGAACGAGCGAAGTTTTGTTTTGAGATACGAGCGACATTTGAGATACGAGGAGCGACCATGCAAGCCCTTCTCGTCCTCGACAATGCTCCTGCTCAACCACCGAACCACGAACATGACATCCTCGAAGAGTTCAAGTTTATAAAGGTTCTCTATCTAACACTACTCCTATCCTGCAGCCCATGGATCAGCAGGTGATTTCTAATTTTAAAAAGCTGTTCACTAAGCACCTGTTTCGGCGCTACTTTGAGGTGACAGAGAACACAAACCTCACCCTTCGAGAGGATGTTAAAGTGGAAGGACCACTTTAACATCATAATATGCCTCAGAATTATTGATCAGGCCTGGCTGAGTGTTACAACGTGGACCTTGACCTCTGCATGGAAGAAACTGTGTCCTGAGAGAGTGTGTAGCCGAAAATTGTGCTGTGGCCTCAGTCTGTAGCTTCGAAGGATTCGAACCCGAAGTGCCAGTGGAGGAGGAGATTGTGTCTCTGGGAAAATCTATGAACCTGGTGATGGGTGAGAGAGACGTGAACGAGCTCGTCGAGGAGCACTCTCAGGAACTGACGACCGAGGAATTACAAGAGTTACAGTCGCAGCTGCATTCGGGAGTTCTGCATGAAATTGGTTTCCAGGAAGAGCCAGAGGTGGAGGAGGTTACCTCTACAAGTGATATAAAAGAGTTCTTGGGAATGTAGGAGAGAATTTCACAGTTCATGGAAAAGAAACACCCCGACAAAGTTGCAACTGGTCGTGCATCGGAGCTATTTAATGACACTTGCCTAACTCATTTCTGCAGCATTCTGATAAAGAGGACGAAACAAACCTCCTTGGACAGCTTCTTTTAATCCGGCTAAAAAAGCAAAGACCAGTGAAGAGAAAAGCAGTGACTAAAATTAAGCATGCAGTAGCATTTAAGTTGTGTGTAAGTGACCAAATACAAAATATGTATTTACACTTTGTAAAACCAGTTTTTTTTTGCTTTACATTCTCTTTTATTATGTTTTTATACAATATTTGTCATTTATAAATACATTTTTCTTATTCAAAAACACGTAACAAAAACAATTGGGGGGTAGCATTTTTGGGGCTGGAACGGATTAATGGCATTTCAATTAATTTCAATGGGGAAAATTGCTTTAAGATACGAGCTAATTGACATACGAGCAAGGTTACGGAACGAATTAAACTCGTATCTCGAGGTATCACTGTACTCTTACACCTAAAAAATTAGAAGAGATTCTGAATTTACAAAATCAAAATAATCTGTGCAGAGATTTTTAAAAAAATCCACTTTGAACATTTTTGCGCACGAAGTATGATATTTTGGAAAATCTGGCGTTGTTTTATATCAATAGAAAGGAAAAAATGATATAATAATAATTTTTCAGTTGTAATTCTATTAAACTTTTATTATTTCAACATTTTATTGCTGATAAAATATGAAAATATAATATAATTTAATTATAATTACATCAATTTAAACATGTGAAGCATTATATCTACGAACAACGCTCAAAAGGTGTTTAGGATAATCCGGGGAATTTGCAGCAACCTTATTCATTTCCCAGGAAGACTTTAAGAAATTAAAATCTACGCACTCCATTGCCTGCTCCCCAAAAAATGCTAATCCTTCACCGTTTTTGTCACAGAACTGTTCAATGTGAAAAAAAACTGCATGAACCTTTGGTGTAACGCTGACACCTAAGTCCATGTAACTCTTTTTGAAAGCTTCTATACATGCTTTGTAATTTTGGTCAAGATTATTTCCGAAGCATGCAGAAACCACTTTTTTGAAGTCGTCAAATACTTTAACATACTTCAGTAATGCTAGATTTTTAAACTGGCGCAGAAGGTCTACTTTATCCAAAAGTGTTTTGCATGCATTTCCTTTAAACCCAAAACATTCTCATCTGATTTCACGCTGAACGTGACAAGCTTCAGTCCATGTCAGCGATTCATTTTCACGCTCTTTCAACATATGCATGAAAACAGTNGCCATCCACGGCCAAAAATTCAACCACACACAATACGTTCATAGGACGGAACCATAAAATGCATTCACAGATCGTAATTTTGACCTGAACCAGAGAACGATCAATCTCCAATTCAGTACCCCCAGAGGTTTTGATTTGTTATGGGAACATGGAGGACTTTGTGACTCGACAGATTTAACGTGCTCCAGTCACCATTTACTACACGGGGAGTCTTCGACCGGCATGACCCTATGAACCAGGCTTAAAAATTTAAACTTTAATATAGCCCTCAAAAAAGTAAAAGAATAAATAAATGAACAAAAAATCAAAATAAGGCCTTTTTGAAGTGAACTCCAAGTTTTAGTTGCTAAACGCTTGCATATAATATTTTTGTTTTAAATTTCTTAATATGAAATTGCTCAAGCTGTTGATTAGTGATAGCGAGCTGGATAACATTCAATATACTTTAATTAAGAGAAAATTAGTTAATGATATAATATACGCCAAAATTGATTATTTCCTTTAAAAAATTTAAATTTTTTATTTTTTGTAATTCATATGCAATAGAAATATAATCTTTTGCAGCTACGGAGTCTTATTTTCGAACATAAACTTTACTTAAAATTCAACTTTGTTTAGGAGCAGATTAATTGTAATGTCACGCATCAGTGTTTTCATCATAGAAAAAAAATGGGTGAGAATTTCTCACCCTTTCTCAAAAACAGGGTGAGATTTCAGAAAGTTAAGTGAGATTTCCAAAAACTTAAAAAACTCAAATAGACTTGGAAAAAAAATCATTTCTTTTATTATAATACATTTTTAACGTCTTCTATTTTTTAAAGCATTGAATATTCTTGCTGCATCATCATGGAAGATTTTGCCTTTACTAGGTATTTGTCCATCTTACATTAGTGCATAAAAAATTTGAACGTCTTACATGAAATAACCTTACCTACGGTTAACGCGTGGTTGCAGAGAAATGTGTTCTGAAAGGGGTTCCGTGGTTCGGTTGTGTTCTGTTGTTCGAAAAGGTTCTGAACAATACTGGTAAATAGGGAAGCTAGATAACGGAGCAAATGTTGAAAATAGTGAGAGATCCAGGAAGAAAAGTGAAACGAATTTTATTCTAAATAGCGTAATTCGAAGCTTCTTCCAAAATGCGAGAAATTCGCGAATTTTGAAATTGATTTATAGAATGCGCGAATTTCTCACAGTAATAATTTTTTAATGCGAGAAAAGAAAAAAATATGCGAGATTCTCGCGGCGCTGTAGTGAAAACACTGTAGAATGAATAGTCGTTTAACTCCAGAATCCTTAAATTTCCTTGCAGCTATCCCCTCATCATACTTAGCACGCTTACCGCTGCACTCGAAGTTCTACTCATTTGATTGTGCAGAAAGACATATTTTTAAAAATTCACCTCCTCCATCAATACCCATTTTTAAGTGAACAGTCAGTACACCTCGTTTATTTTTCACATACTGAACAAAAGCAGGAGCATCTTTGCAGTAAACTCCAAGCGCAGGAGCATCCGAGACTTCATCGCCTTTTATATGAACGAAAGGAAATTCCTTAAAATCAAAATAATCGTTGACAGAATGAGCTTTAAGTTTTGTTTTTAATCCTGGTTCAATTGCTTTTCTACTTCGTGTACACACACGAATGGAAGCTGCTACTTTTAAAGATTTAAGTTTTTATTATTTTTGTTTTTTAAATAGTGCTTCACCAACTATAATTAACAATTAATAAACTTCTAATAATTATAAAATTTATTATAAAAGGTTATTATGAATATTTAATACAAATATATTTTTTTTTCTATTTATAAGTATAAAATGATGTTAACATTTTTGAAATATCGTACTTCGTGAGCAAAAATGC